GGTAACTTTACCTCAGTGAACATTTACAGATCAAGAGCTAAGAGCTGCTGTGGTGGAAGTTTACACTCGTTCACCACTCTTAATCCAAGTGCAACCAGATTGTGCAAAATCACACAAGATATTATATTATTATATGAGATTGCACTTAATAATGTTTGACCAAATTGGCTATAACATTGTCATTTCTCACGTTGATCTTAGTGTTCTGCTCTAAAGGCAGCAGGCCTGTGTGGCATTTAATTTGTACTGTTTTCTCTGCATTTGTCAAAATTTCAAATGCTGTTGTATTTCATTCTGTATAGTAATTCTATCCCCATGTTTGTTTTGCACAGGGCGCGGAGGAAAAAGGGGTCGGTTCGTCGACTCGGCCTGCAGAAGCTGTGGGATTGGTGCTTGGGCCTGGTGCAGACGACATCAATTCCCTGGAGAGTGGTGATTGGTCGATTAGGCAGGATGGGGCACGGAGAGTTAAAAGGTAATGAAATTACCGGTAGTCGTGGTTAAAATGCTATTTTATTTTTTGTTTTTTGTTCAAATTTCCAAAACGACTAAGCATTGATCTGTTTTCATCCCCTCCACGTTCCAGACTGGAACGTTCTGTTGAGCCGAGGAAACCTGCAGTCGCTCAGTCGGCGTCTGAAGGAAATGTGTCGAATGTGTGGAATCTCTGCCTCTGACACTCCCAGCATCCTCAGTGTGTGCTTGGTCGCCATGGAGCCGCAGGGATCCTTTATCATCATGCCAGGTAGAATGTGTGCACATGACGGGAACTTCTTGGTATTTAATGTACATTTCTTATCTGTGTGCCCTTACCCCCCCGTAGTGAGGCAGCTCTGGTGTGTTTGTAATATGATGGATGACAGCCACATATCACAACACATTTCCCCCCTCTTGTCCAGAGCAGATTGATGGCAGGGACGGTTGTGCACCTTTGGCTCATAAAGCACTACCTCGCTGATGCCCATTGATCTGGTTGCAGTGTGATGGAGAGCCAAATCGATGGGTTTATTTTGGGAAACAAGTGTGGGGATTGACAGTGCATCATAGCAGGATTGTGTTGAGCCATACTCGGCTGAGGACGTCTCCCGTCTGAACACCCGTCAGACTGCAAGAGATTAGTGAGGCTGTGTTGGAATCACTACTGTGACCACAGGGATCACACCATATAGAGAGTTCTTTGTAACATTTGTCAGCATGCATATGATAAAATAAAAATGAGAATAAATTAAAGGCTTACTTTAGCACTGTGAGATTTTGCAAGAAGTGACGGTGCTTGATGTGTTCACTGAGTGTGACCCTCAGCTACTACCACATCAAACTGTAGCTCTAGATATAAGTATACAGTAGTCCCTCGCTACTTCGCGGTTCGCTTATTGCAGACTCATTCTATCGCGGTTTTTCAAAAAAAGATTGGACATGACACAAGCGGCTGATTGATGGATGGGCTGCACGATCGGCATGGAATTTTTATTTAAAATGAATTATTTTAAATTATTTATCACCTGCTGCAGCTTTGCGCAGCTCGCTTGCAGGTGGCAAAGAGCAGACGAGTCAGGGAGCTGACATCATGTGCTCATATGAATAATATAAAGCTAACTGTGGTACAGTATTTTTGTTTTTGCTAAGGTTGATTAGCTGTAGCAGCCATCTTTAATTGGGTAAACTCCAAAAGTTGTAGAGGAACATTCAGTGATTACTTTCTGAGTGTTTCATTAAAATCCAGCCAGTGGTTCATAAGACATTTTGCTAACAGTCAAACAAGCAAATACATTATTGTCTTGTTGCCTTCTGGGGAAGAATAATGAAGCAACAAACCTGCCAGTGTGTAATGAGCTTATCCAGATGTTCTGATCAAAGGATCACAAGGATTCCCGCTCGTTTGGTTCCCTTCTTGTTGGCGGCGCTGCTTATTGACTCTGTCTCTTTCCTCTCAGACTCGGTGTCGACAGGCTCCGTGTTTGGCCGGAGCACCACCTTAAACATGCAGACCTCGCAGCTCAGCACCCCACAGGACACCTCCTGTACCCATATCCTGGTTTTTCCCACCTCTGCCTTCGTTCAAGTTGCCAGCTCTAATTACACCAACATCGACACCAACATCGACATTCTGAACGCCACCACTGGTCAGCGGTGCCTCCTCCTCCGTCCTGCTCTCGTTCCAGTTGTTTTGTGGTTAGAAGTCAGAGAGGCTTGTTTCATTTGCAAGGCTTCAACAAACTATAAAATTGCGTTTCCCCTCTCTATATCTTATATATAAAGTTTCTTCTTGATTTAATAAATACAGGAGCATCTCAAAAAAATTTTATATTGTGAAAAAGTTGGATTTTTTTTTGTCAGTCCTTTCAGAAATGAAAACTCAAATATTACAGATTCATTACACGCAGTGAAATATTTCAAGCTTTTATTTCTTGTCATTTTGCTGATAAAGTCTTACAAATAATGAAAAACCAGAACTCGGTGTCTCAGAGAATTAGAATATTGTGAAGAGGTTGAATCTTGTAACCTCCTGGTGTCACAGCCTGATCAGCTGATGAAAAAAGTCTCGCTCCTCGAGTCCAGCCACTCCTGAACCAGAGGCGACGTCAGAAGTGTCTTACCTGCTGAGGAGACAAAGAACTGGACTGTGGCTCAGTGTCCGAAAGTAAATGTTCATGTCATCTGTAAATCAAAGGTCCTGTAGTGTGGAGAGGTCCAGAATCCACATTGTTGAAGTCCAGAGTGAAGTTTGTACAATCAGTGATGGTTTGAGTCCATGTCCTCTGCTGTGATGGTCCACTGGGTTCTCTGAAGTCCACAGTCCACGCAACATCTAGCAGGACATTTTAGAGACTTCATGGAGATGCTGCGTTCATTTTCCAGCAGGACTCCGCTCCTGCCCACACTGACAACGTTACCAAAGCTACAGTATGTAATGTTCTCATTCTCTGAGACACTAGTTCTGGTTTTTCATTATTGGTAAGACTTTCTCATCACAATGACAATAAATAAAGGCTTGAAATATTTCACTCCGTGTAATGAATCTATATATGGTAATGTACGAGTTTCACTTTCAAATAGTTTTTTTTTCATGATATTTTATTTTTTGAGCTGCACCTGTAAATGTAACGTGTATTTTAATTGACCGTTGTACCTTATATATTATTACCTCCTAAAAGGTTTTTATATTCCAACTTGGAAAACTCCAGTAGTCGTATTGTAAAGAGCATGGGGGTGAAAAATGCAGAAGGAATAAGAATAATTGTTCTGTTCGCCTCAGATGGGTCTGATGCCATCGGGATCTTCGAACTGCTGGACCAGAACGAGTTAGTGGACCCAGACATCATCAACATTTCACCCACCACCTCACCCGTACACTCCCCTGGCTCTCATTACCACCACGGAGGGTATTGCAGTAAGGTGATGGCGCGCGCACACGCACAGTCCCAACGTGCGAGTCGACGTGCGCTTCATCGTTAACGTTGATTTTGCTTAATGTCGCAGGGGCAGAGCACAGACCGCATGGAGTCTCACGAGGAGGTTCAAAACCTCCTGCAGCAGCCTCTGGCACTTGGCTACTTTGTGTCTACAGCCAAGGCTGGCCCACTACCTGACTGGTTCTGGTCGGCTTGTCCACAGGCTCAGAACCAGTGTCCACTCTTCCTCAAGGTACCAGCCTCTGTCCCTCTGTCTTCATAGGAAACGTGCACGGGTTGTATTGTTGCAGCTTTGTTAAACAGCATGTAGACAGTCAGGGCATTGACTTTTTATGTAACTCTACCTAAAGTCTTCTCTTTCAAACCTGTTGAACAACAACACGCATATAAAACACATGATTATTATCTAGTAAACAAAGGCTAAGCCAAAATGTTGCAGGTTTTTTTAAAAGCCACATTTTCTTATGCTATATACAGCAGGTGTGGGATTACTTGGGATAATATTTTATTGTCTGTTTTTATACGTTCTTCGAAAGGCTCCCAGGTCAAGGTCACAAATCAAGGTCAAATGTTGTACAAGGTATTTGCTTGTTCGGGCCTTGCTATAGATGGCTGTATTTCTGTAAAATAATTTGTTGATGGGCATATAATGTGCGAGCGCTCATGTTTAAATCTGGTCTAATTTGAAATCTGTAAAATAAAGTTTTTCTAGGGGCCTGGAGGTCAGGCGGTGTAAAACCACAGCAACCATTGAGGAAGTTGTAACAGAAGTGAGAGCTGTTGGTGAAATCTAAATCATTTGTGCAACACTTAGCTCCTTGTATAAACAAACATGAGCAGATGAAGTAAAATAATAACATTTGAGTACACTAAACATGTTTTTAGAAAAAGTTGCACATTCACCTCTGCTGCTAAACGATCTATTATTAGATGTGATGAACTAAAGGGTTAAAAGCTTCAGCAGAATGTGTTTGACTCCATCTCCCTCCTTCTGCTTCTTCTCAGGCGTCTTTGCACCTCCATGCGTCTTCATTGCAGTCAGATGAACTACTGCATAGCAAACACTCCCACCCCCTCGACTCCAATCAGACCTCAGACGTACTCAGGTAAACAACTCCTCCACCCCCCCACCTGGAGTCAAGTGCACAAATTACTGTTACCACCCTCCTGACCACTTCCAACTCAAGTGTGTTTTGTTTTGTTACAGAGTTAAAAATGTTCACAGATATTTCACACAGTTATAATATTTTATAGCATTTAGATTTGTTAATCCTCTTTCAGTTAAAAAAAAAAAAAACCTTCAGCTGCGCATCAAGCAGCATAGATGAAAATTGCAAAGAGCAAGTACTTGGCTACAGTAGGAATTTGCTCAAATGTGTTAGAACACTCGGCTGTCTTTGGAGTTCTGTCCAGAGTTCCCAGTAACTCTGGAAATGAGGGAACACCTGGAAAATACCGTTCACATTTCACAGAGAGGGAAAACTCTGATCTGCAGATTAAAAGATTATCTTCCTGAGATTTTGACATGTACTTGTATTAATGTTAGTAGGTTACGTTCCAAACACCCCTGCAATAGGTGAAAAACTGCCAAGTAGGAACGCTATATTTTATTTTATTATTTATTTATATTGAGGCTTTATAAACCCTTCCCACACTCTTGCAATGTTCTAAACTCTTAAAGCTACGTCACACTAACAACATACGAATATGTACTGTACAGTACTGCAAAATTTTACTCGGCAGCTCTGTTCTGGTCCGGCTCGGTTCCGGTTCTGCAGACCTACCCTGCAGCAACGAAGCCCACTGCCCCGTCCAGGCTGATGTACGCGAGGATAATTGAGCTTCAACATTATTTGCAATTTTCCTGCCAGTTCTGTGAGCTTTTAATTGATAACGTAGATTTGTGTTGCAAAACTTTCCCTCCATTTGTTTCCTCGTTGGCTCCGATGTGTGTCCCATCAGTGCATGAATGTGTTAAAACACTTGTTATTCTTTGTAGAGATCTAGTATAGAGCTGTATGAGTGGATAAGTGAGGACAGATTGTAGTGTGAAGTACTTTGAGTATCTTGATAAGATAGAAAGGAGCTGTATAAGTACAGTCCGTTTACCATTTACAGTCCATTTAAGCAGAAAGCAATGGCCAGAAGCACTGTTGGCTTCTGGGTAGTGTAGTTCTTTTGACTGTCGTTACAGTGTAGGCTTATTGAAAGAAAACTGCAAAATGGCAGCGCCTGTCACAAGTTGTTTTTTTTTTTTTTTTAACTTTTTGTCTCGTACCGTCTGAATCACAAGAGTAATATTAAAGTTGACACTCGTTGAAAAGCTGAAAGAGCGAGTCCACGAAAGTCGAACTGCGAAGTAGTGAGTGACTACTGTATTATAGTATTACTGAGTCCATGCTCTTCTGCAGTGTATTCAGTACATGTATCTCTACTGATTGGCTATGATGGCCTTTTAGTATCTGTTGCTCTACAATATAATTATTAGGAATGATTGATGATGATCTGCATGTACTGTGGGCTACAGTATACTTACTGTTCTCACTAAATGTGACCCTGCCCGCCACCTAAGACTCTTAAGTTCTGAGCATGTCATGTGATTGAAACAGCTTCTGGAGTTTCAGGAACAATCTGGGAAACCTCCGGGAATTTTAGTTTTCATGAAATGCTGGGACCCCAGCTATAGTCCAGGCATACTTCACAATAGAAACACCCTTTAAGTGTCAAACCGGCTGTGAAAAGTTGGACTTGTGCTTGTAGCTCCTTTTTATTTTATTAAGACACTCGGAGCTCTTTACAACACAATCTGTGTCCTCATGGACCCATTCATACAGCGCTCTACTAGATCTCTGCAGAGACTAATCAGAGCTTCATCACTTCATACATCGATGGGACACGTCGGAGACAATGAGGGGTTCAGTGTCTTGCCCACGGACACTTCAGCATGTGACTGCTGGTGGAGTCAAACCCCCAACTCTTGCATTGGAGGACGACTGCTCAAACCACTCAGCCACAGCCGACTTGATGTGACTGAACCGATACTGTGAAATGTTTAACAGTTTTCACAGAGTGACATTTTGAAGTTTTATGGTTCTTAAAAAAGATCTTCCCACAGAATGTTCAAGTTTTGTCTGTTTAAATTTTCCAGTGTGTTTTTTTTGTTTTGCAAACATTTCCTATTCTCACAAACTTCACAGAGTTTATGAATCAAAGCGTAACTGAATGTTTTGATGTGTCTGAACAGATTCGTACTGGAGCAGTACAACGCTCTCTCCTGGCTCACGTGCGACCCGGCGACGCAGGACCGGCGATCGTGTCTGCCCATCCACTTTGTGGTGCTCAACCAGATGTACAACTTCATCATGAACATGTTGTAGCCCTCGGCCTGTTGCTGGAGCAACACGGGGCAAACATTTCAGAGAAGAGCAGAGTGGCTGCTTCAAGCGGTGCGCTCTCACACGAGGAGAACCGCAGAGAGCAGAGCTGATCCTCTACCACAACTGGACTGCGTGGATGAGTGAAGCCTGTCGGGCTCCATCCCTCGCTGCTCGACACAGTCCTGTCCCTGTGACCCAACGAGACATTCACATGAGAACAAGGGAATGAAGACGAGAGGACAACCAGAACTGAACGTGACGAAACGATAGATTGATTATGGTGTCTCCACTGAAGAGTCTATCTTTAAAGTTATTGGAAGAAAAGGGACATATTTGATCTTGGAGGGGAAAATGGAAAAAAAATAAACCTCAAGAAAGGATTTATGGTTTTAAAACATAAATTTCCTTTTTAATGCTTTGGATGAAATAGCGTCCAAATAAATGCCTGCATCTATCTTATTTATTGTAAGTTTTTAAATGTATAATTTGTCTTATTTCTTACCTTCTTTTATATATAAAAATGGAGGTTTATATTGCCTACCTGCTTTAAAGCAATTGGTTTAAGATATACGTAATCGTCTTAATAAAACAACCAGGAAAAAAACAGAACATAAAAATGAAATAAAGTCCCAGTAGGTCGCTTTTAGAGTATTATTTTTTTGTAATGGAGACAGAATATTTGTATTGTCACATTGTACAGAAGAATTTGAGTGCAGAGTTATGATCCATGCCTTTGAGCATGAAGGACTTGCAGCAAAGCTGTAGCTACAGAGGACTTGTACAGCAATGAGCTTCACTGTGTTCAAATAAAGAGGTACATTGTTGTATATGATATTTTATACCACACATTTAGACACAAAAAACAAACTGCAATATATAAATAAATATATATGAACGCCATGCCAGCAGCTGGTGGTGTGGCTTCTGTTTTAGGAGTAAAGTGTGTCAACTTTATCTTCTTGTGCTTGTGCTTTATTGGTTTGGGGAGGGAGGGGGAACCAACCATCTGCAGATGAACGAGGACGCCGATATTCATTCAACCTTTATTTACACAGGTTAGTCTCACTGAGTCACGAAGACTCGTTTACAAGAGAGACCCGTTTTAAACAAAACCACAGATATAGCCCCGCTAGTATAAAACAAAATCGAGCTACATTATGAAACAAGGTAAAATATTAAAAACTAATATTTTTGCACTGAACTTAATTGTTTAAAATCCCTTAGAGAGGTCAAGGTCGACGGCTTCAGATCTTTTGCAAGGTGTTCCAGGAGCAGAGTAGGAGAAGAGCGCACGCTGTAGCTGCACTCACACAGCGACATGTAGATGTGTGAAGGCAGCAGACCAAGAAGTGATTTAAAGATGAAAGTGTACCAGTGAAGAGAGTCCGCGTGAAGTTAACGATGATTAACTGACCAAAAATTACTTCACATAGACTCATCTTTAAATCACTTCTTGGTCTGCTGCCTTCATACATCTACATGTCTCTGCGTGAGTGCAGCTACAGCGTGCGCTCTCGGGACATTATTACCTGCAGTGTCCCCTCAGTGAGGACTGAACTTGGCAAAAGGACCTTCTCTTACTCTGCTCCCGTTTCCTGGAACACCCTGCAAAAACATCTGAAGCTCTCGACCTCTAAGTGGCTTCAAACATCTGGCAAGAATCAATGCAGACATGTTTCTGTTTTGATTTTCCTACGCCGCCTTACAACCAAGATGTTTTTTCGCTACTTTTCCTTTTAATTCTTTTTTTACCATTTTATTTTCACTTGTTAATTTTATTTTTTTGTACGTGTCCTTTGTGACTGTCTATTGTTCACTGCTGTCATCACTCTTTCTTAAAATTTAGGTCTCTTGTAAATGAGTCCCCAAGTCTCAATGGGATTAACCTGTAGAAATAAAGGTTGAATGAATGAAAAACGAGTACCGAGTGCAGTGATGGGTACGGTAGTTACAACCAGTTTAGTGCGCCATGATGGCCAGCATCCAACATCTGCATGGTGCTTGCAGGAGCATTCATATAAATAATGTCACTGTAATAAATGGCAGCTACAAGACGTTTCCTAGCATTCGGTTAGACATGAGCCATTTCTGAAACAGAAACCCAGTTTTAATTTCAGTATCTTTGACATGGGGCTTAAAAGAGAGATGTGCATTGACCAAGATTCCCAAGTATTTGTAAGAAGAATCCACAAACAGTAGGAGCACCATTTGTAGATGAGACGGAAGGAAGGACTGCTGGTACTAACTTCCTGTTTGAAAACGGCGTCCCTTTGGTTTTATCACCATTTAGCACCAGTTTGAGATGGAACAAATCTGACCGGATGATGTTGAATGCAGACTAAGAGCTGGAAAACCTTACTGATTTAACTCAACAATATCGGCATAGAAATGTAAGCATGCGTCAGGAATGTCCTGACCTACATTACTTATGTAGATTTTAAAACGAGTGGGTCCTAAGAATGAGCCTTGTGGTACATTGACAAATAACTGGAAAAAATATCATCGTGTTGAACACGTTGCTTTTGCCCTGAGAGAGAATAAGAGGAGTTGAATGAGATATTAGGCTCTCTTGAAAAATACAGTTAGCTTTTATTCTTTATTTTAAGAAGAAAAAAAAACACCACTACCATAAATTAAAATGGTGTACATCACTTATCACCTAAAGTCCGAGTCATCTGGCCTACTTTGTATTGATTATTGATACTTTTAGCTCGGTAACGTAGCTCCTCCTGGCTATATGATACTAAAATTTCTATAATTTTTCCCATAATGCTATTTTGATTATTAAACATCTATTGACGGTGCTTTTTGTTTTGCCACCGTTTGTTGTCTTTTTTTTTTTTTTTTTTTCTTTTGTGTGAGCTCAGTTTAAGTGTAGAAACATTGTGAAGTGTTTCAATGAACTTATCATCACCGCTCAATTTTTTTTAAAGAAAGAGAAGAAAGAAGAATAAATAAATAATAAAAAAGAAGATAAGACGAGAGACCACCATGACAAAACAACATGCACAGCACAATGCCACCCACAATATCACCATGAAACATTCGACATCACACAAGGAATCATCTGCTTCCACCACTACCCAACCTAGCGTGCATCTGTCAAAGCACCTGAATCCAAACACCCGCGCAAGCACGCCCGCCACCACCAGATTTCTCCAAAAGAATGCCCAATAGTGGACGCGGGGGCCCACAGACCCGCCCCCCCAGGACACAATGGCAACATAGGGAGGACCGGAGCCACAGACACACAGCGGCCCACAGGCCCGGAGCCCCAAGAGTCTCCCAACAGGGAGAACCGCACCCCCCCAGAGAGGAGCAGAGGAAAGAACCGGGTGACCCCAGCCACCACAATGCAGAGCCTCCAGGAAGCTGCAACGACGAGCCCACAGGCCCGGCCAGCGACCCATGCCCCCCCCAAGTAGATCCGGCCATGGACACCGAGCCCCAAGCCCCGAGGCCATACCACCCCCTAGCAGAGCCCCGACAGAGCCAGGGCACCCAGGCCCCGCCAGGCAGCAACCAGGGCGGACCGACGTGCACCCCACCACCCAGCCCAGACACCGAGAGCCACCAATGCACCGGCGGCAAGGGAGTCCCCAACCAAAGGGGGGCACGACCGGGGGGAGTGGACCCCACACCAAACGTGGGGCCCAAATTGATCCCAGAGAGGGGGGGGACCACCAAAAACCCAACCCGAGCAACCAACAGGCACACACAGATAGCCCGACAGAATCTCTGTCGGGCCGACCGCATGCACCATCTACCTGACAGCGACCACAGGCCGGCCCCAGCCCAAGGGGCAGAGCAGCAGGGAGCCGCAGCCGAGGAGGGCCGGCTCTCACATCAAGAGCTCCGCACCATAGGCCCGGAGACGCCCCAGCACGCCACCCATGCACCCCCCCACACACACAGCACCCCCACTGCAAATGCCACACAGGAAGACCAGCCAGTGCCCGGATGAGGCGAAGCCACGCCCCCAACCGCCGCCCTACACCACCAATGACCACACGTACACTACCATAGCCGACCCCCCGCCGAAAGCCGGCAGCCACCCCGGTCAGAGTGCCGGCCATCGCAACCAGGAACCTAGATCAAAAGAATCGGAACAGCCCAGGAGGAACCGAAGCACCGGCCCCAACACTGACCGCCCCCAAGGCCCAAACCGTTTGTTGTCTTGAAAATGTTTGAGCCATCAAGTTGTCCTTTCAGTGTAGAGAAAAGCTTTCAAAAAAATTTAAGCTTGCAAAACATTAATTAGCCTTTTTTTGTTTTGGAAGATCATTAGTTGTTTGCAGTAATCATCTGCTTCCAATTAAGAGTGGGTCTGCAAGTGTGTATTTAGCACTAAAATAACTACGTAATATTTTACATCCACATCAAGGACTCCATCGACGTCACTGTGGACCCACATCATACGTCTACAGAAGGAACCGCTCCACTGCTGACACCATCTCATCGTTGGTCCACACAGCCCTCACCCACATGCAGAGCAGAAATTCTTACATCCGTCTTCTCTTCCTGGATTTCTCCTCAGCCTTCAACACCATCATCCCACAGACCCTGGTGCAGAAGCTCTCCTTTCTTGGACTGAGACCCACACTGGGGAACTGGGTTCTGGATTTCCTGACCAACAGACCTCAAATTGGATCCACAACAGCGTCTCCTCTTCCGTCACGCTCAGCACAGGCTCTCCCCAGGGCTGCGTGCTGAGACCCCTCCTGTTCTCTCTGCTGACATATGACTGCTCGGCTGGACACCCCAGCTGCCACACAGTGAAGTTTTAGAATGAACCAAGAGTAGAGGGACGCATCACGAACAATGCTGAGTCCAAATACAGAGAGGAGGTGGAGCACCTGGTGCTGAGACAACAATCTCTACATCAGTGTGACGAAGACCAAGGAGATGGTGGTGGCTTTCAGAAGGGACAAGGATCCTCTTCATCCCCTACACATCGGAGGAGCAGCTGTGGAGGTGGTCTCCTGCTACAGGTACCTGGGGGTGCATATATCCAGTGACCTCACCTGGAGAGCCAACACTTCCTGTCTGGTCAAAAGGCCCACCAGCGTCTCTACTTCCTCAGGAAGCTGCGGAGAGCTGGACTTGGGAGTTCTGTCCTGAGGAGCTTCTATCACTGTGTGGTGGAGAGCGTTCTCTGCACCTGCATCACCGTGTGGCACGGCAGCTGCACTGCTGCAGAGAGGACGGCTCTGCAGAGGGTGGTTAAGGCTGCACAGAAGATGTGGGAGCAGCCTTCCCACCACCTCGGACCTCTGCACTTCACGATGCAGGGGGAGGGCGCTCCGCATCATGAAGGACTCCACTCATCCTGTACACAGTCTGTTCCAGCCCCTAAACCTCAAGCAGGCAGCTGAGGAGCATTCAGAACAAGACCACCAGGCTCAGAAACAGTTTCTTCCCTGCAGCTGTCAGACTGATGAACTCGAGCTGCACTTAATTCAGCTTCATTT